CAAGTCAGACATAGGCTTCATTTTTTCAATATAAGGCAGGTAGCATCGCCACAACATGTTGAATGTTGTTTCAGCACATGCTTTGACATAAAGCCCTTCACATGATTCCGCATACTCTAAGTATACCTGCCTTTTAGATGTACTGCATGGTAAGAACTTCTTATTCTCGTAACTTTTCATTCCAGGTATTCTTCCAGGAAGACTGATTCCATGGACTTCAGCGTAATTTCTGATGAAAGCAACAACCCGGAGAATATCATCATAAGTCAAAGCATGGTTTGGTGTCTTTCCAGCATTTCCGTGAACTCTAATAAAGTTAAGTACATAACATTGAATTTGTAAGTCCATTCATACCTTGGTATTAATCCATTCATTCTGTAGTTTTTTATGATTTCCTCAAACCTGCTTTTGCCACATGCATGTAGCTTCAGAAATGTTACTCTACATATCTAGTTGAAAAACGATAAATTTTGTGTTGTGTCACTTATAGTTACCAACCTTATGACCTTGATGCATGAACGTAAAAAATTGCCTCTTTCTCTCTTTCTGTCTCCTGTGGTTGCCAGTCGACAATCCCCCCATGGTAGATGTTGCTGCCATTTGACTCATAATAGCAATTTCTTGAACAGGCTTTGCCATGGCTTGTATGTCACATCTATATGTTTTTATGTAAGAGTGACTGAACAGTGCATAGCAATTATCTGAGCAACCACATCCATGTTCAAAGAACTTTGATAATTCTTCTTCCTCATGTAGGTCTTCCTTTCTCATGTCATCACCAGAGTGAGTAGTTGAAGTAGCTGGAGCATCAGGCATCGCTGATTCTAAATCAAGATCTGATACTTGTAGCTCCACAGCCACCTCAGGATCAAACAGTGGTGGATTAATATCTTCATCACAATCTTTTGTCTCTTTCTCTTCTTCTTTCCCTTCCTCTACCTCTTCTTCCATATCTTCTACTGCTTCATAGTCTGTCTCTTTCAATTAACAAATACACTGTATAACCAAATTTAATATAATAATATTGTGCATTTATACAGGTGATGGAATGTCATTGTTGTGATAGCTAACCGCTATTCACAGTTAGTATGTAAACAGTGTTATGAATAAGCTTACCACTAGTTTCATCACAAAAGTAGTCCCCAAGAACTAAAGCAACGTAGTCACTGTCTTGAGGACCTATTTCTTCATTTAACAAGCGAGCAATGTCTCTTTCTGTAGCCATAGTTTTTATAAGTAGTCTTCTTCGTCTTTGTTATACTTTAAATAGTTGCTATAGAGACTCCATGGTTACCTAATGACGCATTAAAGCCCTCCGTTTTTATTCCGTGGTCGCTCCGAGTAACATTCTCCGTGCACAATCAAGGTAAAATGTCGAAGGGCTTATAACTCGGCAAAGAAGGCTTCGCTACCCCTGATTTTGGTATCAAATGAAAGGATTTTGTTTATATAACATGTTTATGTGATAAAATGAATTTCGCCCAGGTAAAGATTTTTCGTGATTATGAGCCCATAGCTCAAAATGATAATTCCCGCAGATAGCCTGGTTTTCTCATATCGGGTCACATATTAGCAGGCTTAGTCTTCATAATTTTTACTTCCCAAAAAGTTTTGCACAAGCCTAGTTGGCCACACCCCTAATTACCCCTCCCATCTCACAATTGCCCCCCCCAAAAATTAAATCCTAGATCCGCCCCTGCCATCAGCAAGGGAAGAATCAATAATATCTATTGTTAAATGGGCATTTCTAGCGACAAAAGTGTTTCAAAAGGCGTCTCAGCAAAGGATAATGAACAGATGCATTGCGTAAAATACGCAGCATGCTTTTACATTCAGTATCATTACTACTACACACAATAGGATGGCCTATCTTTTCACTGACAATTTCTGAATATTTAAAATATTTTTCAACATTATTTTCATCTTTTTTAACAATTACCGTTACACTTGCATTATCCCAGAAATCATGTTCATGCACTTGATCTATTTCTTCAACATGCAGGGATCTTGTCATATAATGATTATTAGGACAATTATCACATGCATCTAAATGCTTCCTCAATTCTTTAATGGGCTCATCAAAATATCGTCTAACTTCAATAATCGAACTAATGTCACTCTCTAATAAAGGTTTGAACCTGTCTGTACAGTGCAATTTGAGGGCAGGCTTTCTCTTATTAGTATACATTCTATTATTATCAAAATTGTCATCTTCAGAGTCACTATCATCATTACATTCTTGTACTCTATCAATACATGATATATCAACCATCCCTGCTACATAACAGATGTCATTTGTATCAACAGG